TTAATTACCCCCCCCCCCCCCCTTTTTTTAAGCGCCGACAGATTCTCCAATAATTCTATTTGTTCGCTTATTGATGTTTGGGTTAACTCTGATATCACACCTGTTAATGGCTCATTCAGTTTTCATTCTATCAGAGAAGCTTATTTAGTTATGAACTTTATAGAAGTTTCCAAACATGTTCCCTACTCCATCTCTAACCAAAACCATCTTCCATAATAGTCCACCTGGCCGTGCTTAAATCTGAAATCACCACCGATCTATTAGCATATAAATAAACCGATGCTATCATGCTTCTTTCTGTAACATAAAGTTTTCTATTTATATTGGGACAGAACGATAGTCATTATCCACCTTCCTGTAATAGCATGGACAATAAGAAAAGGTAACCTTTCCAAAGATGCACCTAATGCATTTTTGTAAAATTTATTTACTTCTCAATATGAACTTTTCCCTGGCTTTACAATAGGCTGAAAATTGCAGAAAATAAAATGTTGGAATAGTAAAATTTTAAACCGATCAAAACACCATGCAACTAATACACTCTATTATTCATCATGAATAATGCACAAATGCAATAATCATAACCCAAGTCTTTTATTTGATTCAAGGATAATGATTTTTACAATTACTAGTTGATACAAGGTGCCTTGCCTTGGTGCTTAGTGTTCCTAATGCAACTAGTCATACAATGGACGAAATTCATACACAAATCAGATTTAAAATTTACAGTGTCAAAGGCCATCAATTAAATAATTATCACAAACAAAATCAATAATAAATAAAGAATCCACAACATAGAACAATTTAAAGATAGATTAAATCAAAGAAATTTGATGTTGAATTCAAAGCCGCTAATAGCCACAAACACATGGAAAACACATGAAAATTAGCGAATCGGATGTAGCTAAGCCTAGAATCAATCACGCTTTTAAAAAGAAACACTGAATTATGAACATGAAAAAAGAACTAAATAAAAGATCAACGAACATAGAAAAATTAGAAGTCATGTCGACATTAGTATATACATGTAGATCACTTTCCCCTAAAAAAATCAGGCCTCAGGCCACTAAAAGAAGATTGACTGAAACTCCAACAAGTTTGCTAAAACCAATAACAAGCTATGTAAATGAGAAAAAAAAGCAAGATATCACCAACTATAAAAAATCTAATCCTCATGTCAGTACAAGAAAAAGTTACATGATCAAAAATTGGTATTCTCTCTTTCAGCGCACTAAATAGAACCAATATCCTTGACGACAAAAGATTGAGCACTAAATTTTTATCTAGATAAAAAAAAAAAGTGCACGCCTTGGATAACCAATATTTATAGACATTAAATTCTTTCTAATCAATAGTCTATAGATTTTTTCCAAAACAAACTCTTATCCAAAATCATAGAATATGGACGATGAAAGCCATGAAAAATCCCATCAAAAAGATCACATAGACTCAAAGGGATAAAACATGGAGAACACTTACGTGAAAGCGTTGTAGCATGAACTATAGAATCAAATGGTTAAGCATGGAAAATATTGGTAAGGAACAAGCACGTGAATCATACGAAGATTTTTTTCTTAGTGTGGAGCATTAAGTGCCTCTATTATTTAAAGGGGGGCACAAATTGAATATCTACTAATGAAAACATCAAATAGCCGGGGCCTTCTAGTATTATCTATTATATAAAAAGAAAATTTAAAATTTATGGGGCAAATTAGGGTTTAGGGTGTAACTAAAGAGAAAAGAGTTTACCGTCCAAAAGATCGTCACTAATAGTCATGAATTGATGAGTGTGAATATCAAAGCTAAAGAGAAAAGAGTTTACCGTCTAAAATACAATACACATAAGAATAGGATGTAACAAAGATACCAAGAATAAATTAGCTAAAAGAAATAGAGAAATATGAGAATTTTCATGCAAACAATTAGATATATCAATCCAAAAAGTGCATATAGAACTTAAAATTTATGTATAAATCTGCCAAAAATAAAGGTATAAATGCTAGCCTTCTCAATATTATCCATCATTATTCCTTTAACTTCCGTAATCTGAGCCTTCAGTTTGGACAATCTGCTCATTTCTTCAGGGTTGCTAATGCAATATTGCATGTGCTCTTTTAGCTTTGGACTGTTACAATTTAAAGAAGACTTTAACATCATAATAGATGTCTGCAACAATTATCATAGAAGGTTCAAAAATACATACCCAAATTCCCTGTCCAGATTGTAAGCTATGCTGAATCTATCTTCAAAAAGATCATCATCATCATCATCAATCAGCGGATGAGAACCATCAGCATTAATGCTCGATTGATATCGGCGCATAAAGTCATCCCGAATCCGCTCAAGAAATACAAATGGCATACTCCTCCCAACAGCTTCATCAGCAACAACAAGAAATACTGCACATCCGAGAGGCAAATGAATAATCAGAACACAAACGTCAAAATACACAATATTTATAAGAAAATCTTACTAAATCCTCTGTCAACTAGGAAGTTGAAGGTATGGCCATCACACGAGTACGTGAACTTGTTATTATTGGGAGGCAGCTTCTGCAGGCACTGGATCGCAATGGTACTGAAATTTCCCGAAAAAGAAGTGTGTTCCGCCAACACAACTGTGCCTTTTGCAACGAAGCTATATATCAATGGTTGCTTGCTCATGGCTTTTTACTCGGTCTCTCGCGATATCAGCAATCACGGAACAGAATCTGCAATCATATTAATTACAGAAAAAAATAAACTACCCAAATTTCACCAAAAAACAGCATGTAACATATAAAATAAATAAATAAGCAGTAAAATATCTGGGTAACGTAGAAATATTCAACAATTCAAAGAAACAAGCGGATTTACGACTTTTTTGCAAAAACGAATAGAGAACGAATAAGAACACAAAGCATAAGATATCGGGGCAGAGTTGACAGATCCTTCGAAAAAACATGGAAATTGCCGGATCAAACAGTCGAATCGATCCGAATACCAGATCATCGGCACTCTTCCCAATCAACAACAAAAGAGAACAATCGAATGGAATGCGAAAACATATCAAATTCTGCCGACGAATCAAAAGACCGAAAGAACAATTTGGCGAAAACCGTAGAACTTCAATAAAAGATAGAGGTGACCGGCATCAAAACCTCTGAAAGCGCTGATTCGATTGCTTCTTCTCGAAGTCCCCCTTGCTTCTTTGTCGGTCTGCAACCAACTCTTCGAGGTTTCTTCTAATTGGTATTAACAGTTACTGGCACTCTTTAGCCGGATATTTACAGTTATGCCACTCGGTCTCGCACAATTTTATGAATACGCCCTTCCATTTGGGTGAAATTATGGGCTTATAGATGTGAGAAATATTTGCGTACATAAGATGTACGCAGCGCTGCGTACATCAGATTTGGGGTTATTTAGGGGGTACAATGGGGTTATATCTGGGTTATACCCCCTTGTAACCTCCGATATAACCCGAATATAACTCCCATGTATTTGCATGCACAATACATGATATCTGGACATTTGCTGAGGGTACTGGGGTTACAGGTAGATTATACTCCTCTAATATCTTTATAAATTATTAATAATCCTCAATACCCTCTGAATAATCTCTGATTTACGCAGCTCTACATATTTTTTACGTACACAAATTTTTCTCCAAATCTGGACCTTCATATTCATATTTACATACATAACACTTAAATTTTTAATGCCACATTAAAAATAATATTATTAACCTCACAGCATTCTTTTTATATATATATATATATATATATATATATATATTAAAGTTTAAAGTGTGAGACATGTAAAAACTGAATTAAAAAATCAAGAAATTAATAAAATTATCAAAATAAAATATTTATGATAAGATCGAACTAATAAAATTTTTATAATTATTTCATAATTATAGTTTTAATTATATTTTACTAATTTTTTTTTTCTCTAGATGAAACTCAATTAAATTCATTTTAGGGTCATTTAAATATGGATCACTCGATCTTATACATTTACATATCTAACACCTAAAATTTATTTTTAAAATTACTCAAATCTTTAATATGACATAAAAATATTAATATTTTAACTTTAGAAAATGAATCACTCAATAGGTAGAGTGGCATAAATATATAAATTAAAATTTAGATGTTAGATATGTAAATACATTAAAAAAATGAGGGGTATATATGCAAATTTTTCAATAAAGTTATTAGGAATGGAGTCCCATAACATGGCCATGAGTTATTGACTTCCAGACTTCTATCATATCGACTTCAAATTATATAGACTAGGATTGAAGTGGAAGCTCAGCCGAACTACCGAACTACCAAGTACTAAAATGTGAAAATAAATTTGAGAGATTTACATACACAGAACAGAACTTTTATGTAATTACATATCGAACCCCTTAATTTGATATTTTATTTAACAAACAAATTTTAAATGATACTACACATGCCTAGGGGTGTAAACGAACCGAACCCGAACGAACAGAACTTGTGTTTGTATTCAATTTTTTTTGAAATTTAATTTGTTTGAAATTATTCATGAAATCACTCTTCGTGTTTTTTTCTTAACGAACGAACCGAACACGAGCTGCTCACGAACGACGAGTCAGTTTGACATCCCTAATATTAATACATATATAAATAATATATTATATTAATTATATAACTTATATTATGTAAATATATAAAATCTATATTAATATATTACTAATATAATATATTATTATATTATTATTATTAATTTATTATATATTATAATTTATAAAATTTAATTTTTTAAAATATCATA